GCCAGTTCAAGGAGCAGGTATGGACCAGGTCTAGGCGGAAAGTGTCTGAGTTAGAGCTCCAGCCAGCTGAAACCATTCCAGGCTTCAGGACTAAGGTAGACCCCTGATTGCCCCACCACGGACAGTGTCGGGAGCTGAGAGGGGTCTGTTGGTGCCTCTGATCTCACAGCCCTTAGAGCAGACAGCAGTGGTTCTGAGCAGACTCCTTCCTCTCCCTCTCCTACCCGGGGTGGTTTCTAATTCTAACTCTAGTGACGTTAATTGATGGGAGAATGATCTGTCAGAACTGTTGAATAATGCACACATTGATGATTTCTTAATAACTTAAAAGCCCTTATGATGGGGCAAGGAGACAGAAGAAAACATGTTTCACTTTCTGCAAAGGGAGAACAAATACTTTCATTCAAGTCATTCACAGAAAGACCCCTAGACAGGCCAGGTGAGCCTTGACCATCAGCTTCTGGAGGAAGTGACCTGGTTTTATCAAACTCACCACTGCCTCTAAGCGCCACCAGAAACACAAGTCTACTATTAGCTAGAAATAATAAAATGCTCAATAAACCCCAAATTATGAAGGCCGAGCCAGGAAACTCACACACACTCATGCTTACAGCACACCTGGTGAGAACTTTTACTGTACAGTATAAAATCTGCCCTTTTAAAAATAGCATAGAATTGGTGGCACGGTGCATTTATGCCCTTTAAGCTATAAGCCAGAGTCTGCAGAGTTTATAAATTCCTTATAACCCTTTGCTATAACATAAAAGTTTAGAATAATAATAATAGTAACTTGACAAGCTGAAGAGGTCAAAATAAGCAGCTCGGGTTTCTCGGCTGAAGAACAGAAAACCAAAAGGGGACCAAGTATTGTTGTGGAATTGGTTTGGCCCAGGGGGAACAAAGCTGATAAAGAGAACTCGAATCCGATAAATTCCATCTTCTCTGATTTTCCCTGGAGAGTTGAGGGCAAACTTCTAAAGAAAACTGTTGTTGAATAAGCTGTTAGCATAGTGGTAACCCACCTTAAGCTGACGTTCCATTAAGCCCATCCAGCGGGACCAGGTGGAGATGACCGTGTAGCCTTCCTCTTTCTGAGCTTGAGTTTCCCCTAGAGATGTGTACTATTTTGTGGGCCTTCCGAGTCTAGAATCTTCCACACTCACACCGAGTCACCCCACGTTTCATCCTCTGAGCTCTCCTCTTGGCCCACCTCTAGCTCTTTCACAACGTTGCCGTTAGAATCAGGGACCCCCTGGGACATGCAGCCACACACCACTCCCCAGATCCCTCTCTTTTCCTCTCTGCAGTCCCGGGGGTCACCCTCCAAAGGCAAACATTCTCCTGAAACCCTCTGTCCCGGCTTGGGTCGTGGGAAACAAACTCTGTCTGAGATGGAGCCGGGGAGAAACTCTCAGGACCACCCTCTGGGGGGCGTACAGAAGCCAGGCTGGGGCGGAGAGACAAGTGGACTACAGTTCAGTCACAACAGAGGCTCAGCCCATGGGGACCCTTCTGAGTTGCTCCAAATGGAGGCAGGGGAGCTGGGTCTTTGTAAACTGACGACAAGCTGTACCAAAGATGGCCGCTCTGGGCAGGGCGTGGCCTTAGGTAAGACATCCCCTGTGACTGAGGGCCGCTCTCTCCTGGGAAGGGTCTTAGCTGGGAGTCTTCAGTTGCCCACAGGCCTGGCAGCTGGAGGAGTGAGCGTTGGGTCCCACAAGGGTGCATCTGGGTGGGCACACTGCACCCACCATGCCCTCGTTGTAGAATCACCATCGGAGGAAAACAAGCCTTTACGGAGAAATGAAGGTTGCAAGTAAAGGTAAGAGGAATCTCATATTTATTCTTTACCTTTACTGAAATATAACAATAAGATAGATGTTATCAAGGCTATTTTCCACATCCTAAATCAGTAGTGATTAATGCTGTACAATAAATTTACTATTTACCTCCTTCAGGGTCTCCCTCCTGCTAAGCTTTAATAAGCTACTAATAAATATGTTTTTCTTTGTTACAAATAGTACAGAAATAACTGCTAGTATCTGAGCACATGTTGCATTGCAGACATTTATTATTTTCTTCAATTATCATAAAACCCTGTAAGAAAAATACCATTATCCCTATTATGGATGGAAAATGCAGGACTAAAGAGAACAAATTCCTTGTTTGGCTCACACACATGTCAGAACCTGGGTCTGAACCCAGCTGACCCCGGAAGCTCTATTCTTTTAACTCTATCATGTTGCATTTTATCCTGATATGGAAATTATTTTCCTTTTTGCTCCTCTTTTCCGATGTCCAATGCCTCTCTGTTTTTTGTTTACCCTCCTAGTTACGGAAATCCATTTCTGAAATCTGACTGTTGTTGTTGTTCAGTCGCTCGGTCATGTCTGACTCTTTGAGACCCCATGGATGGCAGCATGCCAGGCCTCCCTGTCCATCACCATCTCCCAGAACTTGCTCAAACTCATGTTCATCAAGTCAGTGATGCCATCCAACCATCTCACCCTCAATCTTTCCCATCATCAGGGTCTTTTCGGATGAGTCAGCTCTTCGCATCAGGTGGCCAAAGCATTGGAGCCCCAGAAAAAAGACAAGGAACAGAGAGTAGGAACACATACTTGACCTCCCTGGAGTAGCTACATGAGCGTCCTCAGAGAGCTCCCCCCCATTCCGAGGCTGCAGCACCCGCTGAGTGCCCCTGCCTCCTGCCTCCATGATTTGGACAGTCTCTGCTGTTTTTTCCTTGGTCCCCCAATCTCTCGAGGCTTCCCCACTACAACTTTGATCCTTACCTCACCATCCTCTTCTGCCAGTCCGTTCAGTTTCTTTTAGTTATTAGTAGGAATTATTACTGCTGTTTACAAATTCAGATCTAAATTTCTCATGGCAACAGAAAAAGGAATAAATAGATATATCCCTGTATCCTAGAATTTCAAATGTAGACTAGAGGGATTGAGAAGAAACTACTGTCTATATAGTGACTTAAAGAACCATCTTATCATGTCCTTTTACCATCACGTTTCACACCTGAAACCTGGTTTGGTCATATGTTCTTTTTATACATATAATTTGTAAGATTATGATAAAAGGAATCTTATCCAGCTGGTGCTCTTGTAACTTAAAATGTGTGCCAGGTGGACTTTAGAGAAGAAATCAGGATGATATGCTTGGCTGAGGCCTTTTTTATACTAGAATGGGGGAATTAAAATCTCATTTTTTGAAATAAAGGGAGGATAGACTTTCATCTGTCTGAGATAATTTAATATAGCCTACCTGGAGGCAGGGCAGACTTGAGCAAATGATTCTTCTAGTCCTCTCTAGCTTTGTAATTATATTTTCAGAGGACGAGAATAAAGATTCCTGCTGCTTCACACATTATTATACATCTTGAAGAGGATTCAGAGTCTAATATTTGTCATTTTTAGCCACTTTTCTAATTTTATGTCTAATTAGCCAAGAAATTGGCAATTCAAAGACATTCTCGCTTTGCAAAGTTCCCATATGTCTTTCAATTCACAAATATGTTTTTGATATTCCTTATAGGTGTGCAGTACTTAGGGAACAAGAGAAAGGGCCTGAAGGAGGTGGGCAGAAGCCAGTCTCTAGGTGCTCAGAGTCCAGGGAGAAGGGAAGGCATATTCACAGCCAATTAGAACGAGATGCAGAGTTCAAAGTGTTGCGTTAGAACTAGGTTCGCAGTAAGCAGAACCTCACCCAGGGCACCTGAAGGAAGTAGGAAGGGGAGAAGGGAGGTAGGAGGGGAGGAAGGAGGGAGAGAAAGAGGGAGGGGGGAGGAAAGGCTCTCTGAGCCACCTCTTCACCCTTGGCCCATGTCAACGAACCTTTATCCTCTGTGTCTGCTCTGCAGGATCTGAGGACTCGGGCTGAAAAGCCCGAGGCTCTGTCAGGATTCTTCATTTCAAGACCATCCCATCAGTGATCCGCACCCACCCCTCAGAATGGGACGTGATGCACAACTCTACTCCCAGCCTGTCCAAGTGTTTGTGTATGGGCTGCACTGCAGAACACAGGTTCATCACGCCCTCATCAGAATGCTACTTCCCAGGAACCCCAGCACTGCAGTGGATTCCTGCTGAGAATGTGTCTCCTTCTTCCAGGACTAACTTGTCTCCCTGATCTCTGAAAACAATAGGAACGCTTCTCTCAAGACTACTATTCCCATAGAGATACATCTCTCCTCCCACATTAGCCCCCCCCCCCGCCCCACCCCTTTCTTTTTACAGGATGTTGTTAAAATATCTTTACATAAATAATTAGTAGTATTTTTCCCTTTCAGAGGCTTGACTTCCATGGGTACTGGAAGGCTGCAAAGGACGTGTGTGATTTGTGGGGCTTGTTACAAACAGCCACATGCCTGCGACCCCATACCCAAGGCCAGCATGAGTCTCCGTATGAAGGAAGTGAACTTGAACTTCAAGACAGTTCACTTTCTCCTGGTTTCCAAACCACAGTCACACCCTTTTGATGCTCAGGCCACCCTTCTTGCCTTCAACTTAGTCCCTCTACACTGTGGGTTCCTAACCTGAAGTGAGTGAAGTGAAGTCACTCGGTCATGTCCGACTCTTTGTGACCCCATGGATTATAGCCTACCAGGCTCCTCCATCCATGGAATTTCCCAGGCAAGAATACTGGAGTGGGTTGTCATTTCCTTCTCCAGGGGATCTTCCTGACCCAGGGCTTGAACCTGGGTCTCCTGCACTGCAGGCAGACGCTTTACTATCTGAGCCACCAGAGAAGCCCAACCTGAAGATATTTCCTAACCACAGAGACACACTCTGATGGGGGGATCACAGGTGCCGTAACCACCCTATGAAGAAATGTTGTAGTGAAGGAATCACTGGTTGCATATCAAAGAGAACAAAGGCTATTTGGACTAGTCTAAGAGGACCGTTAGCCAAAATTTTTCAAAGGCGGTGGAAGCTGCCTTTGCCACTCACATAGAGCCTTGCGAAGAATGTCTGGACCTCCTCACTTACAGCTGCTCATGGATGGTGGCTTCTTTCATCCTGTGCACCACCCTGTTCCTCACCTTTCTTGACTCTTCAGATGTACAGGTACCTAAGGCACTGCCGCCGTGAAATTAAAAGACATTTGCTCCTTGGAAGAAAAGTTAGGACCAACCTAGACCGCATATTAAAAAGCAGAGACTTTACTTTGCCAAGAAAGGTCTGTCTGGCCAAGGCTGTGGTTTTTCCAGTGGTCATGTATGGATGTGAGAGTTGGACTATAAAGAAAGCTGAGCACAGAAGAATTGATGCTTTTGAACTGTGGTGTTGGAGAAGACTCTTGAAAGGCCCTTGGACTGCAAGGCGATCCAACCAGTCCATCCTAAAGGAAATCAGTCCTGAATATTCATTGGAAGGACTGATGCTGAAGCTGAAACTCCAATACTTTGGCCACCTGATGTGAAGAACTGACTCATTGGAAAAGACCCTGATGCTGGGAAAGATTGAAGGTGGGAGGAGAAGGGGATGACAGAGGATGAGATGGTTGCATGGCATCACCGACTCAATGGACATGAGTTTGAGTTAACTCCAGGAGCTGGTGATGGACAGGGAGGCCTGGCGTGCTGCAGTCCATGGGGTTGCAAGGAGTCGGACACAACTGAGCGACTGAACTGAACTGACTGAAGGCATTGCTTCCTGTTCCCAGACCAAAGGAAGCTTCATCAGCTTTGAATTTCCTCACCATTCTGCTTGTCCTTATCTGAGATCAGTCTCTGTGACATGGAGCATTTCTCCTGCTTTTCTGCATTCTCATGCCTAAAGCAAGTCCATTTCCCTGAGTTTTGACTTCTACCTTGGACCTGTAAGGAATCTGGTTTCAGTGAGCTATGTCTCTCTTTCTTGCCTGTATCTTCAAAGGGCCCTCTCTTTTGCTTATGTGGGTTCTTCCCATCACCTGATGCATAAACCCTTCCATCAGAACTGCTTTTATCTTTCTCTTTAATTCTTTGCAAGTTGGCCTCCTTCCTCTCTAGTCTGACATAACTCTTCTAACACCACTAATGATCCTCTGGGGGTCAACTTTTGTGGACACATCTCAGTCATCTTATTTTGTTTCCTTGCAGTATTTACCCTGCTGACCTCTTTATCCTTAATTTTTCCCCTTACTGAGTTTCTTCACTGAGCTCCTCAGTCTTCTTTTCAGGTGTCTCTTTCTCCATAACATCCTTAAACATTGATATTTACTTAAATATTGATATCATGGGTCTTTGATCAACCTTTCTTTAGCCCCTTTCTGGGTTGCCTCATTTACTCTCATAATTTAAAATCCATCTGTTGACTCTGAGCCCACATGTCCCACTCAGCTATCTCTCCCATGTCCCAAACATAAATGTTACAGTGTCTAATGGGCAACTACATCAGACCACTCTAGACATATCAGGCTTGCTCCATTCCAAGTGGGTCTCCCTTTCAACTGCCTCTACTCTCTCTGATCTTCCTTAAGAGGTGCCTGGTGCTGCTCTGCACCCATCGTCCTCCCGAATTTATTCCCCTCCTTTAGCTCACATGCCTAATTGACGAATATCATCAGCCGTACTTGCCCAAGAGCTCTCTTGCCCATGCCCTCTTTCGCTTCCTTCTGCCACTGCCTCCATATGGGCATCCATCATTTCTTACACGTGGTCTTCCCAGGTGGTGCAGTGGTGAAGCATCTACCTGCCAATAAAGGAGATACAAGAAATGTGGCTTTGATTCTTAGGTAAAGAAGATCCCCTGGAGTAGGAAATGGCAAGCTATCTCAGTATTCTTGCCTGGAAAATTCCATGGACAGAGGAGCCTGGTGGGCTACAGTACATGTGGTCACAAAGAGTTGGGCGTGATTGAGTGAGCACCCATGTCTTACATGGACTGTTTTTGCTGCTTCCTTTGTCTATCTTCCTTTTTCTAACTTAGGGCTTCCCTGGCGGCTCAGATGGTAAAGCGTCTGCCCGCAATGCGGGAGACCCGAGTTGGATCCCTGGGTTGGGAAGATCCCCTGGAGGAGGAAATGGCAACCCGCTCCAGTACTCTTGCCTGGAAAATCACATGGATGGAGGAGCCTTGTAGGCAACAGTCCATGGGGTTGCAAAGAGTCGGACATGACTGAGCGACTTCACTTTCTTTTCTTTTTCTATCTTACCTCTCACCATCCATCTACCACAAAACATCATCCACCCACCCCAAGTCTGATAATATCAGTGCTCAGTCAAATTCTCCAAGGTCCTTCATTGCTTACAGCAGAGAAAACTATGACCCATGAACGAAGTTTGGCCCATCACCTGTTTTTATACAAATAAAACTCATGCACAGGCTCAATTCTTCCATACATGAAAAAAACCATGAACAGTGAAGAAGCATTAGATATTTGTAGTTAGTACAGGGTCTATAAAAGCTGAAATATTTACTATCTAACTCTACAGAAAAACTTTGCAGGCCTCTAGTTTAGAGGATTAATCCAGCTTTCTTAGGATGGCACAAAAGACCCTCTAGCATACATTCTCTGTCTTTCCAAACTCATGTTCCTTAACTCCTTCCTCAATAGAAAGCAATATTGGAATTTTTTTTTGTAGATACGGTTGTATAGCATTGTAGTTTAAAGTGGAAAGTATAGCCAGGATATCTGGGTTGAATCCTGACCTTGCCACTGGTTAGCTATGTGACCTTTGACAATTTATGTAACCTCTTTATAATTTAGTTTTTTCATATATAAAATGGAACGTCCTAATTCAGAAGGTTTTGGAAACACATTGTCTTAGAGTCTCATTTTGTTTGTCTGTAACATAGAGGTCATAAAATTGCGCTTTGGATAATGCTCATGGTGGTAGAGAGTACAAAAATGTATTTCTGAGAACGATGTTAAGCATATAAGAATATTCTTTCTTGAATAAATCAATTTTCTTAACTGACTTATCTGACATTTGGTAGGGAAAAAATTCACATGTCAATGGAAACAGCAAAGAAATGAGAAAAGGAAAATAGAAGTATCTGTGAGGAGTTCTAAAATTTAATGAAAGAAAGTATCCCTCTTTAAAAAATAATTATCCCACACAATAAAGGAATGCTAAATAAACTGAGAAGGACCATATATATGTAAGGTGTCATGTACAGACTTTAGTGCTCACCCTTATCCGATTCTCTTCATTAACTCTGTGGAAGAACAATGCTTTCTCGCCCTCTTACAGGTGGATGGGGTCATGTGACTAACAGCCAGTTACTGTGTCATTCATTTCTTCCTGGATGAAGCACTGAAGTACTGGTGTGAGACTAACACTTTCTTCCCCTCCTGGCTAGAACAAGGAAGGCAATGTTCCAGACGGTGTATTGACAAGATGGCAGTCCCGCTCTCACGAGGAATTACACAGCCACTTTGTGGGGGCAAGTTTCTCCAGCGTGTTGCCTCCACCCACAATGGATTTTGAGGATGTGGGAAATGAACTTCTGTTGGATTGAAGCACAGAGATTTGGGAATTGTTTGTTTTTGTGCATAACCTAGTCTACCTTGGATCTCCCCTCATGTTCCTAAGCCTGTAGAATTAAGTGAAGCCCTGGGCAGGTAGAGCTGGCTTCCAGGACTAAGCCTCCTGTGAGGAGGTGGGAAGGAGCAGGTCCATTGTTCTGTGCTGATGAGGAAGGAATGTCCTTTGTGATCACTCCTGAATGTTTTCCCTCTTTAATTAGCAGTTTTTGTTATTGTACTTGGGAGGCAAAGCTCCAGGAGCAAAGGCCACGGCTTTAATGATAAATGCCTCCTCAAACATTTCTAACCGGAAAATAAAATAACATAAAACCTTGCAAATGAATGCGGTCATGAGCTGCAAATGTCAATTCTGCCATTGTATGGATTTAAAATCAAATGTAAACAATGTTTGAGGAAACACTGACCTGAATCGAGTCTTTTTTTTTTTTTCACACTGGTAATTAGTTCTGCAGCAGCAGGCTCTGGCTGAAAGCTGGGTCAGGGCTCCCTCCCCTAGGAAGCCGAGAACATCCTCACAGCCTCCAATCACGAAACAAAGCCCTTGGGAGGTTGTCTGCTGAGGCTGCCCCTTTGCCCACTTCTGGTGAAGGGCAGATTTCTTGGCAAACGCTCCCTCACCTTGACTCATGGGGAGTGGGTATAAATTCTTTCTTCAGTGTGGATGGTAACTGGGGTGGAGAGACTGGAGTAGGAACAACGGAGGCTAAAATTCTAGAAATCAGATGACAGGCAGACTTAACCAAGTTTGAGAATATAAGAATTAAAGAGATATTTTAGCCAGAAAAAAAGATTAATGGCCATAATGTTATTAAAACATACCTTTTTTTTTCTCTCATATTCTGGAGCACAGTACTGATTACTGAAGTCAAATTATCAGAGGGCTCCTTATTTTGATGTTTATTCCGCAGTTTCTTCAATAATCAGAACGTTTGGTAACACAGTTTCCTGATTCATAAAAATAATGGTTAAGGATGGATGTTTTTTAAAAACTTGGGACTGAATGGCCCATTCAAATTTCCCACGATGAGTACCCTCACTTTAGGCCCAGGAAGAAATATCAAACTGTGCATAAGAAGCACAAACCAGTTAATAAATGAGAATTTGAATCTGTGCAGCTTTTGCTCAGAACTCACTACAAATGCTGACCTGTTCTTGTTACTGGCCATGCCATTTCGAAGTTCATTTGAGAGGCTTTGGTTAGGAAAATATTCTTAGACCATCAAGTTTACCTTCAACTCACAGAACCAAAAGAAAATAAGACTACCTAATGATGTGGAAAAATCATTTAAAAATCAGATAAATCCCAAAGACTTCAGTATTAACAGTTTATTATAGTATTCACTAACCTTACACAGGCTGGAAAGAAGTGTTCTCTAAACTGCTAAGTAGAAAGAACTTAATGATTTCAGTTTAATTCATTGTTTTACTGAAGTCCCTTCTGGAATGAAAAAATAAAAACCATCAACATACATTATGTTAAAGGTCTGAGTCTCAAAAGCAACTCTAATCTTTAGCTGGAAAACAAAGCATCTGAAAATGCGTCCCGAGTTTAGTGGAACTTCATCATTCTTGAACCAGTCTGCCTTTATCAATAGCCAGTTCCTCTGTTATGACAGTAAATTAAAATACCATTCTTTGCCTTAACAAGAAAAATGAATAAGAAGAATGAGAAATTTAAATGACTTTGTTGAATCAATTCTTTGGCTTGCTTTTTCATATCTTCTTTCTTTGCTAAGGTCTTAAATCTGATACCCTTCAAAAAGGCCGGACAGAGAAGAAAATGGCTTTTACCTGCCTACTCCCTTTTTCTCTCTTCTGATCCTTCTGGTCTTTGCTCATCATTTTTTTCAGGTCATTACATCCCTTCTGGATTAATTTCTTTAATATCCCATTGGCTGGGCTGCCAAAACTCATTTCTTCATTACTGTTCTTTGCTTAAGGGTGGCAGTTGCTGAATCCTCTGCCACATCCCCTTTGATCTGCCTTGGATTTTATTTTTTTATAACATCTATTTCTTTTTTTCCCTTCTTTGTTTATCCCAGTGGCAGAAAAGGGGGGATTAATTATTTCTATGAAGCCAGCACTTCTTTTTGTGTCAAAGTACTAGGAAACAGAGCACATTTATCTGAAGAAAAAGCATGTCTCTATCCGCTGCATTTGAGGGATCTAAACCTGGACTTTGGATTCACTGAGGGTAGTGTCTCTGTTTGCAGATTCTCTTGGCAGAGCCTGTCTAATAGTTACAAGGGTCTGCAAGCTTAAGTCCACCTTCTAAATAAACCTCCTTGTTTCTAACCCTGTGTACCTCCAACCTCATCCCAGTGTAATCTTTCTAAAACACGAAAAGGATCTGTTACTTCTTAGCCCCAAACACTCTTTGGGCTCTCCACTGCATTCGGGAGAACTCCACGCTCTCAGTTCAACTCACTCACTCAATTGTGTCCAACTCTTTGCAACCCCATGAACCGTAGCACACTAGGCATCCCTATCCATCACCAACTCCTGAAGCTTGCTCAAACTCATGTCCATCGAGTTGGTGATGCCATCCAACCATTTCATCCTCTGTTGTTCACTTCTCCTCCTGCCCTCAAGCTTTCCCAGCATCAGGGTCTTTTCAAATGAGTCAGCTGTTCTCATCAGGTGGCCAAAGTATTGGAGTTTCAGCTTCAACATCAGTCCTTCCAATGAACACCCAGAACTGATCTCCTTTAGGATGGACTGGTTGGATCTCCTTGCAGTCCAAGGGACTCTCAAGAGTCTTCTCCAACAACCACAGTTCAAAAGCATCAATTCTTCAGTGCTCAGCTTTCTTTATATAGTCCAACCCTCACATCCATACATGACCACTGAAAAAACCATAGCCTTGACTAGATGGACCTTTGTTGACAAAGTAATGTCTCTGCTTTTTAATATGCTTTCTAGGTTGGTCATAACTTTTCTTCCAAAGAGTAAGCGTCTTTTAATTTCATGGCTGCAATCATTATCTGCAGTGATTTTGGAGCTCTGAAAAATAAAATCAGCCACTGTTTCCACTGTTTCCCCATTTATTTGCCATGAAGTGATGGGACTGGATGCCATGATCTTAGTTTTCTGAATGTTGAGCTTTAAGAAGAGCATAAAAAGCACTGTTCTTATGTTTTACATTTTTTAATCTTTTTTCATCTCTTCCTACTCTCTCCATATCCTATCTTACATTCTAGTCATTCTGAAATATATGGGTTCTCAGACTGTGCTCATCCTCTTTTATCTCTGAGCTTTTGAACTTATATTCTCTCTCTTGGGAATGCCTTTCTCTCCTTTGTCTACCTGGTAAAGTCCATGCCCCTTTTACAACTCAGCCCAAATAGGGAATCTTTTCCCATTTACCCAAGACCTGCAGCATCCTTGTCTCCTTGATGTTTGACTCAGGTATTTTGCGTCTCACATTCAACATCAGTATCTACTTGCCTGGATCATTCACTCTGTTTTGAACTGCTCGGGGACAAGATCTTTGTCTTTATCTTTGGGGTCTCCATGCCTTATTAAAGAGCCAGGGATATCACAGTGGTTAGAAAATATTATGTGCTCAGATAAATGAATGAATGAATGAAAAGTAGTAAAGCAATTCAATACTTCTCATTAGTTGCATTGTATAAATTATGAATCACTCTAGTTGTGTTTTTCTTTTGAGTAGGCAGTAAGAGAATTCCCGAATGCAGGTACTTATTAGCTGTTACTGCTGTTATTGTAATTAATTAAGACTCATACTTTTAATAATAGAAATTGATTGTGTACACGGTCTGAATTTATCAGAAAATCATGGCTTCCTTTTTATAATTTTATAGAACTTCTCATCTTTTTCCTTGATAAGCCACACTTCTGCTGGTTTTCTATAGAGTAAGTAGGATTTGGACACTGTTCACTTCTTGGTGGCTCAGATGGTAAAGAATCTACCTGCAGTGCAGGAGACTAAGGTTCACTCACTGGGTCGGGAAGATCCCCTGGAGAAGGGAACGGCTACCCACTCCTGCATTCTCGCCTGGAGAATTCCATGGACAGAGGATTCTCACGGACTATAGTCCATGGGGTCACAAAGAGTTGAACACCACTGAGTGACTAACATTTTCACTTTAAGAAAGTCCTTTTCCCTTCTGAGTCCTAAAGAAGAATTGAATTAATAATCTGAAATCATCAAGGTAGGAATGGTTTAAAAATCAAGGTCATACAATTTGTACACAATTGCTTGCCTATCTTTTCCTTTATTTCACTTTATTGTTTTATTGTCAGGATTGTACCATCTTACAAAATATTCTATGTAAATTATTAACTGCATAATATATCACTTCTTGCTTATAGTCTTCCTTTGTTTTTTTATTCATACAGCCATATCACCCATTAAAGTATTGTTTAAGTTTTTGCCTCTCTGTGTGTGTATTCTTTTGTTTGTATACTTGTACTGTGTACTATACTGTGTTATGATATAAAATGTATTTTTTTATTATGGAATTTGAGTCAAAAAAGTTTGAAAGCCACTGAAAACTACTTACAAAAGTAGTTTTGAAACTACCTATCACCCTTTAACATTTTTTTTTCCAAAGGCAAATCAGGGTGAGATGAACATCGAGGACAGCAGCTTTGAAAGATTTCACAAGTCTAGGGTATGTGAGTAGAAATTAGAATAGTCCTACTATAGTGTAAGTGTATTGATGTCCTTGTGTGACTTATGGAAACTGTACTTATTTTTAAACTCACTGTCCCTCCCTATCTTAGGCCTGCTGATTGCCCTGCTTCCCTGAGTCCCTGTCTCTTTGCCACTCACCACAGTAGACTGGGGATCTTTTGAATGAGGGGCCCAAAAGAAAATAAACTCAGTTCAACTTGCTCAAGTGTTAGTTCTACCTTTGGCCACCTAGCCTGGACACTCTGCTGTCATCTCCATCGTTTTCTATCCATTGTCAATCCTGTACCGTGTGCCAGAATGAGTGGCTTCAAGTCAGGAAAGAGGTGCCTACTTTAAAACATGTCATCCAGGTTCCTGCACAGCAGTATGATCACTGATTCAGAAGATAGATATTTTCAGAACCCTTGAATCTTACATTCCTGCATTAATACCTAGCACCTCCCACAGACACGTGGCCTAGTAACTCCTCTTGTATAAGTTTTCCACAATTCATCTCCATGATTCACCATGCTAGCAATTTACAGTAATGAGCTGTGAGCTGACACCCAGGGTGGGTGAGACAGAGACAACATTCAATCTACAGCGAGCAGCAAAGAGTACTTGAGGGATACATTCTCTGCATTCTGAAAGCATCTTAATGATCCTAAGTGCTTTGGATGTTTAGAGGAAATTCAAAGGCACTGAATCAATCGTACATCATTTAAAAAATACAATACATAAAACTTGGGAGCTGTAGGAATGGTATCTGTTTTTCTGCAAAGGCTGAGGAGGTAGCTGGATAGAAGAGTGTTAAAGTAATGCTTTTGTTTCCTGGAAGAAGAGGGTAAATGCCTATTTCCTTACATGTTGATGGCTAATTTTCGGGTGTACGTGGGCCAGGATGAGTGCATCCAGGCCTGCTTGGGAATCATAGAACATCCCAGTCTGTTATTTTTTCAAATGTCTTGCATTCAAGAAAAGCATCAACCATCTTTAGCTGAACACTATATTTAGCTATAAAATTGATTCATATATGAAAGGACACAAAATATACATGATTCTAAAGCCTTTTACATTTTCTTTTGACAATAAGGGTAGGTGAATAACTTTTGAACTATGTTTTTTACAACAAATTATTTCTTTTATGATAGTGAGAATGAAAATCTATAATTATTAGAACATATGCATCATTACCCGGTAGATTGAAACACTTAGTTCAGAGGGTCAATTTCTTATTATAGGAACACAGCCAATAATTTGATGAATTACATTTTCCTTTTTCTCAGGGTAGCCCTTTAATATGGCTTCACTGTTGCATGGAGTAGAGAATTCTAGTGCTGCCAGCTATGTTCAGATCCATACCCGTGTGTCTCTCTGGTACCTACGGGAGGCAGCTGCAGAGTGGAGGGGACATGGCCATTGGCTCAGCCAGCACTGGGTTGAGTCCTGGCCTTGCTGCTGACTGTTTGAATGGCCCTGGGCAAATTCCTTCACCTTTTTAAGACCTACTTTCCCTCACATGCGGAAAAAACTCGGTACCATTCTTGGTGGTGTTCTTGTGAGATCTAAATGCTTAGTACATGAAAAATGTCTAACGCGTGGCGGCTGGGAGCAGACACTTGGTGCATAGTGGCGATGGCTCAGAGGGGCTGCCCTGAAGGCTCTCCTCAGTGATTTTTCAGAGATCAAGGCGGAAGGAGCGCTGCTTTCCTCATGTTGGGCTCTGGGGTCTGTTCTCTGACCTGCTCTATGCCGTTTAGGTGGCAGACAGACCTAAAGTCTGTTCGAAGTCAGCTGTCCCCGTCGATGACCACACAACAGAGCTGCGTTCCCAGCTCTGCTTCCTGGGCCTTGCTGTGGCTTCCTCGCTGTGCTTCCCACTCTCGTCTTTTTGGCAAAGGACCGCCTGAGAGGGAAGACAGTTCTTTGTATAAGATACATTCCCCTTATTTTATACCGCTCCAGTGCCTACAAGTATCATGAGAATATAAAAGGTACGGAGGGCAGGAGTTAAACTGTATCTGTGTGGCAGGCAGGCTGGAGGCTGAAGGCAGAAGTGGAAACGTGTTGGACTTCGCTGTGGCCGACCAGGGGCACATCCCCAGTCTGGACTTCTTCCCCTGGTCAGGAGACCAGCCCCGAAGGAAAGGTCATTCTGATGATATAATACGACAAGATATGACCCGTTGAGCCTCATCATCCACAGATTTCATATTTGTGGATTTGCCTCCTCACTGGAATTTGCTTTTAGTTTCCAATCAACACCCTGATGCTTTCACTGACATTTACAGAAATGTTCTGAGTGAGAACACTTTGAGTCCCCCTGAGGACAAGTTTCCAGCTGGGTCCCAACATGGCGCCCCTCTGTTCCCTTCTCCCTCACGTTCAGAAGGGACTGCGGGTGGGGACAGGAGGCGGCCATGCTGCGCGGCCTGAGAGGCCCTGACGCTGACGTCACTGGACGAGGTTGGAATCCCAACTCCGGCACGTGTATGTCAGTGGAGTGACTGTGGGCAACCATCCAGCACTTTCGAGCCTCATGCTCTCTTTCGTAAATAAGTAAAATGGAATCTACTGATCTGTGGTAAGAATTTAAGATTATGATATATGTGACGTGCAGATATGTATACATTTCCTAGGAACAATGGTTCAGTGTTCACTAACTCACTAATTCAGTGTTTGCAGAGACTTTATAGAACACAAAGTGGCTCAGCTGGTAAAGCATCTGCCTGCAATGCAGGAGACCCGGGTTCGATCCTGGGTCGAGAAGATCCTCTGGAGAAGCAAATGGCAACCCACTCCAGTATACTTGCCTGGAGAATCCCATGGACAGAGGAGCCTGGTGGGAAGCAGTCCATGGGGTCGCAAACAGTCAGACACGACTTCACTTTCACTTTCACTTAATAGAACAGAACTACCACAAATAATGAAAATTGATCATTATATGTGCTGTGTGTGTCTCCCAGTGGAAGGGTACACGGAGTGATGGCTAGACCTTGGCTTCAGTTCCATTTCCATCAACAGGCTCCACCGACGCACGAACAGAGACAAGTTGACCTCTGTGCCTCCTAGTTCCCTAAAAGGTAAGTTAGGGTCAAGGTGTCTGCCCTGCATAACGAGACCTTGCTGTAGAGATGAAATGTGTTTAGGATGCATGAACTTCCTTAGTACCTTTTAAAGCTCTTTGAAAATGGAAGGCAGTGTTACCATCTGGCTCCTGTCTGGGCAGCAGGAGCAACTAGGAGGCTGGATGGTCATTCTATGGGAGCTCTGTCGACGGTGGACTGTTCTGGTTTAGCGGTCATACATTCGTTGATTTATTTATTCAGCCTTTCAACAAACTTGTACTGAAAACTGATTGTGTGCCCAGACACAATGGAGATGCACAGGATGCAAATGAATAAGCAAGGTCTATCTCTCAAGATTCTTACTGGAGAAGGAGACAAATGTGCCGTATGGATTTAGAAGGAGTGCTCCAGGCTTTTATTCTTCCCCTGACCCAAATCCTTCACACGGCCATAGCTGTGGGACTCTCCTGTATTTGTACCAGCTGTGTATTCGTGCTTGGGTATATGTGAATGGATGTATGAGGGTGCTCAGAGACAGTAATGGGTGTGCTGGTACTTTCACCAAGTGCAGTCTGACATCTATCACAATTCCTCTTTCATTAAGACTCATTCCATGTTGATGCTTATGTACTGTGTAGTCTTTTCTCTGGGGTCTTAGTCATATTCTTTCATGCTAGAGTTATCAGCATATGGAAATTCATATGTGTCCACATGATGATTCCTGAGAATTAAATCCATCAGCTGAACAAAGCACATGCATTTCAGATGTGCTCTATGTGAGGCATGTTGGGTTCTTTCTGCATCCAAAGCCCAGAGGTCCCAGGATATGCAAACCTACTCACATGATTAATTCTCTCATTTCATTATTTATCTAGCAACTTTAGTTCTTTGATCTTATGTGAAAGTGAGTCTTCGACAACATGTGTATATGAACCAAAAACTTGTTTTACATGTTTATAATATTACAACTGCTCTTTCAAATTGTCTTGATGATATATGTAAAATAGAAAATTACCGACTCCCTTGGAAGTTGCTTTGACACAAGGTTTGAGTGGGCATAGTTTCTGTCTTAAAAGAGCTGCAAGAAAACTTAGGAATCATGAGTCAGATCCCTTTCTTCACAAAGAAGGTCTGGAGTGATGAAATGGAGGTCCTAATCTGTGGATTATTTGTGTGAAAATATAATGCAATTGGTTAGTATAAAATATACTTCACTTGTCTCCCTCCCTCTTCCTTCTTTGTTTTCTCCCTCGGTCCTTTGACACGGCAAATGCTTCCTTTCTTCATTTACCCATGTGCCCTCACTTCTGGAATTGGTGATATTAGGAGACTAAGGGGAGGACACTCATTGAAGGGCTGTTGTAATTCGTGTGGATGGATACCCACTGGATATGGAATCCTTGAAACTTCATTACAGAGCTTAGAAAAGGTCTCACCTTTCAGCTTTTAAGAATAGTTCCTGATTTTATTTTGAGAAGCTCTAGCAAATATGTGGCTCATGGTTATAACATCTGGTTTGACAGAAAACACTGGGTATGAAAAATCAGAAATAAAAATTTAAAGTAATAGACAAACAATCATTGCCTCAAGTAAACAGCTTGTTTGAATGTCTGAGACTACATTTTGTAACTGAGAATATGGCCCTTTTTGTGTTGACTGCTAGAAAGCTTAGAGACAAGTTTATGGTTCACTTTCCACAAACAGTTTAGGACAGTTCTGCCAGGCATTTTATGTATTCATCTCATTCTTGGACTCTTTACATCATTTTTTTCCACCCTTATTTACCCTTTGCCATTATTTCTTCAGGTATCTATTTTTTATCCTCTTGTACTATATACAGCATGAAGCATACAAAATCATTTTTGGAACAAATTGGGATTTGAATGTATAGACAAACATATGGTTGACAATTGGCAATAAGGTATTATTCCATCCCTAATTTACACAATTTAGTAGCCAGAGAGTCATAGAAATACATAAAACAAATTATAATGCCGTTTTCTAAGTGCTATAAAGTTGGTGTGGACACACTGCTATAAGGCAGATGATGGAAGAAGCATCACTAATTCTTTCAGTAGCCCTTGCTCTGGGCTTGTTACGTGCCAGCAATTCTTTTGGACCCTGAATATACAAACTCCCTTAGTCCCAAGGAGTTCAAACTCCTGGGGAAGACAAATACATAAGCAAATAACTATACTATAACAGGAGTCATTCTTAAAACTGAGTATGTGTAAAATGCTGTGAAAACACAGATGAGGGGCAATTAATTATATCTGGGAAAGGAAATCTCAAGGAGAGAGAGGTGATGACATTTCAGCTTGATCTCGTGCATAACAAATGACTTCCTATAAGGTATTTTCCACCTGTTTTGAATTAACTAAAATGATTAGATCTTAGAATTTACAAAGGTCATCTCTACGAAAATGGAAAAAGTAGATCATTCATGTAAAGTAACAATTTAAAAAGTGCCAGACTGATTTTGGATGGCTACCAGAGGTGTGTAAGTGCTAAAGTTCATAAGAAAGAAGGTTTTTGAAACTGAGAAGGAGATAACATTTTCCTGGATTTGATAAATACAGTGTTAATAAATACATGCAGTTAATTATATACAATATAATTTAATAATCATAGCTTCCTGCTGTACCAGTGTTTCTTAGTTTGTGCTTGACTGACTTAGGAGATAAACAGAAACCTTACTAACATTCATGGAGAAATAATGCTACATGTTCTCCAAATCGACTTCATTTTCCTTCCAGGTCCACCGTTAAACTCTCTTTCCTGTTGTCCTGACTGATACCTGTCACTTCCAGAGCTGGTCTCTATGATTCACTCATGCTTGCTTTTCTAGTCTCCGACTTTCTTTTCCATGAGGGACACGTGTTGAAGACAATGGTGTCAGTAGACGGAAAGAGCTTGGGTGCCTCAGGCCCACCGAGAGGCAAGTTCCCTAGGAAAGGGCATCTAGGAATCTAGGAATTGCTGCCCTGGCTTTTGAATGAACAAGGTACTACTGTATATTGTGCAAGACCACTGAAAATTGGCATTGCTTGTTGTCATAGTTACTCTGTTCTAGTACATTCCAGTGAAATGGTAAAAAGCACTTTCACTTTTATACTTACCTCCTTTAGTCCCCTCATCCATTCTCATAATCATATAAAACACTGTATTTAATTCAATAGTTGTTTCCAAAATCTACAATATGAATTAAGGTCTTAAGACCTTGAGCAAGGTGGTTGGTATGGCATCTTTAGTCTATCGGGTATATAGGTCGTGATCATTCCGTTCTCTAAGGGGCTACGTTATGTGGTTCACGTCACACTTGCATGGGACCCCTCAGAGTAGTTTCCCTGTGTTAGACCCAGGCCACAGATGTGTAACACGAGGGGAACCTGCTCTGTTCTTCTGGTGTGAACATGTTTGGCAAAGGCCATCCAGTCTGAGTCAGGTCAGTTGGCCCTGGTCTTTGGAGGCCTGGATTAGTTGGGCAGAACAGTAGGGTTTTAAAATAGCTGTTTCTAGTTGTGACTTCTGAAATTATTTATGTGACATTCCAACATACAATTTAGTTAATCAGGAGTATTTCCTAAGCGTTTCCTGCACGTCAAGTAGGCGCTGGAGCTCTAGTTATTGAGATTAACACAGTGAACAAGACAGATTTGGCCTCTGCCCTAAGGGATCTTATAACCTAGGAGGAAAAACAGCCATGTAAAATACAGCGATGGGGTTTTTAATGCAGGCAAGACAGGGTAGGCCGAAACCATAGGATTTTCAGCGTCTCCTCCTCTTTCTGGATAAAAAGATACGGTTATATCTTTCGGTGTTTTAAAGCCAGTGCAAC